GAAGATGTATTATTGATGCTGAGACAGGTGGCATAATCTTTATATAGGCACATGATAGAAGATGTATTATTGATGCTGAGACAGGTGGCATAATCTGTATATAGGCACATGATAGAAGATGTATTATTGATGCTGAGACAGGTGGCATAATCTGTATATAGGCACATGATAGAAGATGTATTATTGATGCTATGGCAGGTGGCATAATCTTTATATAGGCACATGATAGAAGATGTATTATTGATGCTGAGACAGGTGGCATAATCTGTATATAGGCACATGATAGAAGATGTATTATTGATGCTATGGCAGGTGGCATAATCTTTATATATGCACATGATAGAAGATGTATTATTGATGCTGAGACAGGTGGCATAATCTGTATATAGGCACATGATAGAAGATGTATTATTGATGCTGAGACAGGTGGCATAATCTTTATATAGGCACATGATAGAAGATGTATTATTGATGCTGAGACAGGTGGCATAATCTGTATATAGGCACATGATAGAAGATGTATTATTGATGCTATGGCAGGTGGCATAATCTGTATATAGGCACATGATAGAAGATGTATTATTGATGCTGAGACAGGTGGCATAATCTTTATATAGGCACATGATAGAAGATGTATTATTGATGCTGAGACAGGTGGCATAATCTGTATATAGGCACATGATAGAAGATGTATTATTGATGCTATGACAGGTGGCATAATCTTTATATAGGCACATGATAGAAGATGTATTATTGATGCTGTGACAGGTGGCATAATCTGTATATAGGCACATGATAGAAGATGTATTATTGATGCTGTGACAGGTGGCATAATCTTTATATAGGCACATGATAGAAGATGTATTATTGATGCTGTGACAGGTGGCATAATCTTTATATAGGCACATGATAGAAGATGTATTATTGATGCTGTGACAGGTGGCATAATCTGTATATAGGCACATGATAGAAGATGTATTATTGATGCTGTGACAGGTGGCATAATCTTTGTATAGTCACATGATAGAAGATGTATTATTGATGCTGTGACAGGTGGCATAATCTGTATATAGGCACATGATAGAAGATGTATTGATGCTGTGACAGGTGGCATAATCTGTATATAGGCACATGATAGAAGATGTATTATTGATGCTGTGACAGGTGGCATAATAATGTATATAGGCACATGATAGAAGATGTATTATGATGCTATGGCAGGTGGCATAATCTTTATATATGCACATGATAGAAGATGTATTATTGATGCTGAGACAGGTGGCATAATCTGTATATAGGCACATGATAGAAGATGTATTATTGATGCTGAGACAGGTGGCATAATCTGTATATAGGCACATGATAGAAGATGTATTATTGATGCTGAGACAGGTGGCATAATCTTTATATAGGCACATGATAGAAGATGTATTATTGATGCTGTGACAGGTGGCATAATCTGTATATAGGCACATGATAGAAGATGTATTATTGATGCTGTGACAGGTGGCATAATCTGTATATAGGCACATGATAGAAGATGTATTATTGATGCTATGGCAGGTGGCATAATCTTTATATATGCACATGATAGAAGATGTATTATTGATGCTGAGACAGGTGGCATAATCTGTATATAGGCACATGATAGAAGATGTATTATTGATGCTGAGACAGGTGGCATAATCTTTATATAGGCACATGATAGAAGATATATTATTGATGCTGAGACAGGTGGCATAATCTGTATATAGGCACATGATAGAAGATGTATTATTGATGCTATGGCAGGTGGCATAATCTTTATATAGGCACATGATAGAAGATGTATTATTGATGCTGAGACAGGTGGCATAATCTGTATATAGGCACATGATAGAGGGTGTATTATTGATGCTGTGACAGGTTGCATAATCTTTATATAGGCACATGATAAAGCATAATCTTTTATATAGGCACATGATAGAAGATGTATTATTGATGCTATGACAGGTGGCATAATCTTTATATAGGCACATGATAGAAGATGTATTATTGATGCTATGACAGGTGGCATAATCTTTGTATAGGCACATGATAGAAAATGTATTATTGATGCTGTGACAGGTGGCATAATCTTTGTATAGGCACATGATAGAAGATGTATTATTGATGCTGTGACAGGTGGCATAATCTTTATATAGGCACATGATAGAAGATGTATTATTGATGCTATGACAGGTGGCATAATCTTTATATAGGCACATGATAGAAAATGTATTATTGATGCTGAGACAGGTGGCATAATCTTTGTATAGGCACATGATAGAAGATGTATTATTGATGCTGAGACAGGTGGCATAATCTTTGTATAGGCACATGATAGAAGATGTATTATTGATGCTATGGCAGGTGGCATAATCTTTATATAGGCACATGATAGAAGATGTATTATTGATGCTATGACAGGTGGCATAATCTTTGTATAGGCACATGATAGAAAATGTATTATTGATGCTGTGACAGGTGGCATAATCTTTGTATAGGCACATGATAGAAAATGTATTATTGATGCTATGGCAGGTGGCATAATCTTTATATAGGCACATGATAGAAGATGTATTATTGATGCTGTGACAGGTGGCATAATCTTTGTATAGGCACATGATAGAAAATGTATTATTGATGCTGAGACAGGTGGCATAATCTTTATATAGGCACATGATAGAAGATGTATTATTGATGCTATGGCAGGTGGCATAATCTTTATATAGGCACATGATAGAAGATGTATTATTGATGCTATGGCAGGTGGCATAATCTTTGTATAGACACATTATAGAAAATGTATAATTGATGCTAAGGCAAGTGGTACATAACAAAAAATCTTTCTATATGCACATGATAGAAGATGTATTATTGATGCTGTGACAGGTGGCATAATCTGTATATAGGCACATGATAGAAGATGTATTATTGATGCTGTGACAGGTGGCATAATCTGTATATAGGCACATGATAGAAGATGTATTATTGATGCTATGGCAGGTGGCATAATCTTTCTATATGCACATGATAGAAGATGTATTATTGATGCTGAGACAGGTGGCATAATCTGTATATAGGCACATGATAGAAGATGTATTATTGATGCTGAGACAGGTGGCATAATCTTTATATAGGCACATGATAGAAGATGTATTATTGATGCTGAGACAGGTGGCATAATCTGTATATAGGCACATGATAGAAGATGTATTATTGATGCTATGGCAGGTGGCATAATCTTTATATAGGCACATGATAGAAGATGTATTATTGATGCTGAGACAGGTGGCATAATCTTTATATAGGCACATGATAGAAGATGTATTATTGATGCTGAGACAGGTGGCATAATCTGTATATAGGCACATGATAGAAGATGTATTATTGATGCTGTGACAAGTGGCATAATCTTTATATAGGCACATGATAGAAGATGTATTATTGATGCTGTGACAGGTGGCATAATCTGTATATAGGCACATGATAGAAGATGTATTATTGATGCTGTGACAGGTGGCATAATCTTTATATAGGCACATGATAGAAGATGTATTATTGATGCTGTGACAGGTGGCATAATCTTTATATAGGCACATGATAGAAGATGTATTATTGATGCTGTGACAGGTGGCATAATCTGTATATAGGCACATGATAGAAGATGTATTATTGATGCTGTGACAGGTGGCATAATCTTTGTATAGGCACATGATAGAAGATGTATTATTGATGCTGTGACAGGTGGCATAATCTGTATATAGGCACATGATAGAAGATGTATTATTGATGCTGTGACAGGTGGCATAATCTGTATATAGGCACATGATAGAAGATGTATTATTGATGCTGTGACAGGTGGCATAATCTGTATATAGGCACATGATAGAAGATGTATTATTGATGCTATGGCAGGTGGCATAATCTGTATATAGGCACATGATAGAAGATGTATTATTGATGCTGAGACAGGTGGCATAATCTTTGTATAGGCACATGATAGAAGATGTATTATTGATGCTATGACAGGTGGCATAATCTTTATATAGGCACATGATAGAAGATGTATTATTGATGCTATGGCAGGTGGCATAATCTTTATATAGGCACATGATAGAAGATGTATTATTGATGCTGTGGCAGGTGGCATAATCTTTATATAGGCACATGATAGAAGATGTATTATTGATGCTATGACAGGTGGCATAATCTTTATATAGGCACATGATAGAAGATGTATTATTGATGCTATGGCAGGTGGCATAATCTTTATATAGGCACATGATAGAAGATGTATTATTGATGCTATGACAGGTGGCATAATCTTTATATAGGCACATGATAGAAGATGTATTATTGATGCTGTGACAGGTGGCATAATCTTTGTATAGACACATTATAGAAAATGTATAATTGATGCTAAGGCAAGTGGTACATAACAAAAAATCTTTCTATATGCACATGATAGAGCGTGTTTTATTGATGCTGTGACAGGTGGCATAATCTGTATATAGGCACATGATAGAAGATGTATTATTGATGCTATGGCAGGTGAAAGATTAAAACACAATCTTTATGTAGGTTCATGATAGAGAGTGTATTATTGATGATATGAGAGGTGACAAATTAGCAAACAAAATCCTTGTATAAGAGAGGACATGTTTAATAATGCTTTGACTCTTTAGGCCAGAATAGAGGTCACCCTTAACACTTGTTGGCTGTTTCTGGTTTTGCCAAGCCGTTTTGCCTTCAGCAATTTGTATATTTGTGTTGAACTGTCAATGTTCTATGCCGTTGTTGAAATCAACACAAAGCGATCTGCTGTCAAATCACCTGCATCTAAAGTCGGCCAGGTTTTTTTCAGTGCTGTAAACCAGCTTGTAAGCTGCCGAGAGCCGACAGCTACCTTGCTCACTACAAAATACTTGTTTATCACACACGTTTTCTCTAACCTTTTTGTTTATTTTGTTTTTCAGAGTATTGGGAAGGGATCATTATGGTGCATAGATCCAGCATACCGCCCCAATTTGCTTCAGGCCCTGAGGAAAACCCCTTACCACCCGTACCACCAGCTGCAAATGACTTCCACTCAACCACAAAACTACATTCAGTGCCAGACTCTTCCAGGGTGAGTACAGAACACACTCTCTCTTTGTGTCTGTCTGTCTCTCTGTCTTTCTCTCTATCTTTCTCTCCCTCTCTCTCTGTCTGTCTTTTTCTCTTTCTCTCTGTCATTTTCTCCCCCTCTCTCTATCTTTCTCTCTGTCTTTCTTTCTCTGTCTGTCCTTATATCTCTCTCTCTCTGTCATTTTCTCTCTCTCTCTCTTTCTCTCTCTCTGTGTGTGTGTATGTGTGTGTGTATGTGTGTCTATCTCTCTCCCTCTCTCTCTGTCTTTCTCTCTCTCTAACTCTCTCTATCTCTCTCTATCTCTCTCTGCCTCTCTCCCCCCACCCCTTACTCCCTATTACCTCTCCTTTCTCACTCTTCTTGTCCACTCTCATTTTCTGTCTCTTGTTTATCCATATTTGCTGCCTTTCTCTCACTCTAACTGCATCTTCACTTCACTCACTCTGCTTTTTAATATTGAATTTTGAGAATGGAAAAAAAAAAGAAAAAGGAATTATTTATTTCTGTAGTCGGTGCTGCTAATTCTCTTATTTTTCTTCCTCTATCTTCCTCTCCTCCTCATCCTCCATTTGCTCATCATCATCATTATCACCATCAAGAGCCTTGCTGATCACACTTCACAGCTTCTTGTTTTCTGCAACCTGTATAAGTTCATGTGATTACATCATTTTCTGCGATGACAGAGCTTGTCACAAATTTTAGGATGTTGAAGTATTCCTCTGTCTCTCTTTCCTAAATCTTTTCAGTTCAGATTCATTTAAGTATAAATAAAACACAACATGAAATGATTTCCTCCTCCCCGTAAATTCTTTCTCGACATTTTTACTGCATATATCAATAAATATGTAGAAAAATACTTTACAGTAAGTGTAATTTGGCATGTAAATCTAGTTATACCACATGTGTGTTCTGGATATCACTGGAAAGGGGTGAGGTTTGTGTAAGTGTTTCAGACCACTGCCCCAACAAGCAAATCCTAACAAGTGACCAGTTAGGGGATTTGCTGAAATCACAGGTGTTGGGCTGTAAGGTGTAGTCTGGCTCAGAAACCACAGCACGTCATGCCAGGTAGCCTTTCAAGGATGAATACAGGAGAAGAATCTACAGCAGAGCTATTCAGCTGGCGGCTGGCGGGCCATATCTGGCCTGCCATGGATCATTGGATGAATGATCCTTCTGTGATAGGGAGTAATCATTGGGTGAATGATCCTTCTGTGATGGGGAGTGGGCCTCTGGCCTGTGACGATCCCCACGTTAACATTTTGGCCCCCTGGTAAACTGTTGAATAAGCATAATCTACAGGGTGTCCCATACGTTTATATACATAGGAAAAATAAACATGTCACCAACATTGCAAGCATCACTTCAGCTGTGCTTGTATGCGTTCTTCAGCAGTGAAGAACATGCCTTGAAATGTTTTCATATGTAGGAACAGTTATGGGATACCCTCTAGTTGTGTTTTGTCTAACACCTCTACATTTGTATATTACTGAATAAGATGTGAAATTATTAGGGCTGTACCGAATAGTGATTTTCACTATTCGGCCGAATACGAATAGTGGGACCAACTATTAGGCCGAATACGAATACGAATAGTGTATCATCATCATCATCATGTGCCTTGCTGACTGACGTGGGCAATTATGCCTCGCCACAATCTGTGATCTGCTGCAGTATGTATCAGTTCGTGTGCTGACACACCTCCATGCCATGCAACAAGACTGTCAAGAATCTTCGTTGTCTTCCTCTATCCCTCCTTCCACAGATCTTTCTAGTGGTCACCACATGTTCCATTTTCCCTCATCTCATAACATGGCTGAAAAATGATGACTGTCTCCTTCTGAAGTCTGTGATTAGTTGTCTTTTGGCTCCCGACTCTTTCAAAACCTATTGGTTGCTTTTGTGTGTGTGTGTGTGTGTGTGTGTGTGTGTGTGTGTGTGTGTGTGTGTGTGTGTGTGTGTGTGTGTGTGTGTGTGTGTGGCTATTCAAGGTATTTTAAGCATTCTTCTGTAAAACTACATCTCTGAAGCCTATAGAAATTGTTTAGCCTGTCTAACGATTGTCCAGGACTTACAACCATATGTTAAAACTAGAACAATAGGAGAAAAATAGTAGCAAGCAAGAATTATTTTTCTAACCTTCAATGGCCAATATATATTGCATAAGATGTTCTTCATTTTATAAAATGCAGTTATTGCCTGTCACCTGTGCTCTTTTCGACAGTGGCGAGGAAAGTATCTCAAGTATCTTTATGTCTTCTTTAATAATGTCACTATTTATAGCCGACTTTTCTTGATTTTCGCCCCGGCACCCCTGGCATATGCACCCAGTTTGAGAACCTTTGCTGTAATGCCTCGGTCGAGTCAGCAGGCAAGACCTTGCCAGCTTCTGTACCACGCAACCGGGTCACAGTTTTCCCCGCTACTACAAACTTAGGCAACAACAACTACTGTGTTAATGAGAGAGTTTTTTCAGTCCATCGCAGTGTATGCAGAAATGAATGTAAGGTAACCACCATTCGTATTCGGCCCGACCGCAACTATTCGGCCGAATACCGAATAGTCATTCTGACCACTATTCTGCCCCGAAGCGAATATTCGGTACAGCCCTAGAACTTATTATTTTTTTGTTTTGTTGTAAATGCTTTCTTTATTATATTTTCACTACACATACTATGCAAGTCATATAATACTTTACAGCAACTTTGTAATGTGGATTTGATTGTAATTATGTCTTTTAAAAATTCCTTAATACATTTATATTGATTGCACAGATGTGGTCGCACAGTTCTTCCACTAACTCAGAGACCAGTGCCAAATACTGTTTCACCCCGTAAGTATTTTCAATTTGTTGCTTGTTATTAGGGCACTGTTTAGCTCCTGGGACAGCTTGCTTTAGTGAGACTCTAAAACAAGGAAAACAATACATTATAAGGTAGCCAGATAAAAAGAAAGACACCCACATGAGAATTTGTCACCTAGTCTTTGTCAACAAACAACACACATCCCAATGAACGAGAGAGAAGGAATGACAGTTTATTAACGAACACACATTCATGTACAGGCACACATGCGCGCGCACACACACATGTGCGTGCACACACACACACACAGACTTTATTAATGAACACACCTACATGTACAGGTGCGTGCACATACAGAGACAGAGGCACACTTTATCGACAAACACACATGAATGTACAGGCACACACAGAGACAGAAGCACACTTTATCAACAAACACACTTGCATGTGCAGGCATACACACACACACAGCACTGTTTATCAACGAACACACGTAGTCTTTATCAACGAATAGGCGCGCATACAGGAAAATGCAGAAATGTACACACAGACAGACACATTTGCCTGCACACACGCACATATTTAGGCACAGACAGAAACTCAAACACACAGATAGAGACACACACATACACACATTATTTCACCTAATCTGTTTACGAGCACACGTGCATGCACAGGCGGACACATAAAAGACAAACATACACAGATAAACACCCACAAGACACACATGGACACAGAGAGAGAGAGAGAGAGAGAGAGAGAGAGAGAGAGAGAGAGAGGGGGGGGGGGGGGGGCTAGCTTTAAAAATTAAAATAAAAAGAACATATTTGATATACCAAGGTTATGTTTTTCTGTGCTATGTGTGTTCTGTTTGTTATACCAGTTTTTCTCCTTGTGTCTACATTTTTTTTTTCCTCTTCTCTTTTACAGATTTATTTCCATTTTTGAGCCGTAGGCTTGCTCAGACCTCATTTGATGTTGGTAAGTTACTTCAGGTTGTTTAAATTGTATGTGATTCTATTTGTTAAATATAATAGGTAAATGTGAGAGGATCGACTTCATTGCACCACGGTTTTTATCCCATATGGCCCAGTTTCTCGCTCCAGAACAGCTCTGGCGACGATCCCCAGGGATCTCCGTTAAAGTTGCACGCGTGAACTTAACGGTGCCGCCCTGAAACGAACCTGCAAACTTCAGAGCGCAAGGCAAACGGCTTGACCACTTTACCACAGAGACTCCCACATTAAATATAATATAAACCAAAGGGGGAGAAAATTGCTTCTGGTAAGATGGCAGTTGTTCATAATTGTATGAGACTACTGATACTATTAATTATTTAAGACAAATGTTGCTCTATTTTTTCTTCTTTTTTTTTAAGATATTGATTTAGAACAAAACAATGCTACTGGGGGAAAAAAGAGAAAGACAATGAACCTTTTTAACCCAGGTTTGCAGTTCTGAAGTGGCTTTTCTTCCTCCCATAGCTTTTGTGTGTATTGATGGTGCCATGGTAACCTTGTATCAGCATTGCTGCCACCCCAACAATCAGCTCTGTGCCTTGTTGTGCTGTTAGGTGGCTTTTATTTCCTGTAGTGGTGGCTTGTTGATGTTGCAACCATGGCAATGTTTCCACTGAAGTAAAAAGTACATTCGGCTCCTGTGCAGTGACAAGGTCGACTAGACTTCATTGTTTTGAAATGTCTTTTCTCCTCCTTTTTCTTTTTTCCTTTTCTTCTTTTTTAAAAACTATTAAATAGATGGATAAATCACCACAAAAAAATAACTTAGCTTTTTAAAAAAGTGGGTCAGTGCAGACAATTTAGAGAACAAAACTCAAGACTGCTATTTCCTCTGTGGGAGGGGGAATGAGATATTCGATGCTTCCTTAACAAACATGTGGCCAAAGGCGACATTAGGTGGCGTTGCTTTCAAAACTGGAGTGTATCTGAGAGACAAGGAACCAACAGTGGGATTACAGATGAGCCAGGTCTATAAAATGAATGTGCATGAGATCTCTAAGAAAAAGACCAGTCAAGAATGGGTTTAACAACCAGGACTGTCTACTGGAGTTTACAGAGTTGTCAGGTGATACAAAAGTGTCAGTTTGTATATGGTTTGTCTCCTTATAGTTTAATTTGACTTCGGCAGCCGCAGTAGCAGAAGGGCTAGATGCTCCTCTGCCGGCCAGAAGGTCTAGGGTTCAAATCCGCATCATGATGAATGTTTTTCTAAATGACTGGCTCCCTGGTTGATCCAGCCTAAAATGGTTACAGAGTAATGACCTTGGAAGTAAAGGTGTTGACCGCATCACCCAACATGAGCCGAATGGTCTGTTAAAAATATAAGTGTAGCACTACATGCCCAGCGGCGTTTGTGGCTTAGGTGTTGCGAGTCCTACTCGAATTCCAACATACGACAATCGAAACCCTCTGCTTGCTGCGCGGATTTTTATCTTGGTATGGGTGTCACAGGTTGACCGAGTCTAAAATGGGCACCAGGATGGCTGTCCTGGGGAAGTAAAGACGGCCGGCGTAATGATGACCATATTACCCACCTAGTGCCGATGTTATGTGTGTATGCATTATTCTATAATGCATTTTTCTTTATTATATCCATAACATGCATTATTGATAGCAGGCACTGGTACTCTGAAAAATGAGTGCTTTGAAGGGCCAAATGTCAGACGGGCCTGCGTGCGCAATTTGTAACCCTTTGAAAATAAAGTTTGTTCGTTGGGTCCATAAAAATATGGGCACTCTTTCCATATACCCAATACACCTAGAGGCATGAAAATGGATCTTTCCTTTTTTTTTTAAAAACTTACTTACTATATGCCCTGTGTGTCTAAGGTATGAAAAGGGAAACTTTTCTGTACTTTTAGGAAGCCTTGACAGGCTGTAACAGATTGAAAGACCACAGTTCTGCATTTTTTCAATGGGACATAAATTATTCCAATTTCTTTTTTTTGCAGATAGTGAGATGAAAGATGTTGCACAGACCCTTGTTGCTCTGAAGAGCTCCTACAAGAAAGGTGATGTTTTGTCATTATTTTCCACAATATGTTTTTGATGAGCATTTTATGATGTCTACAGCCGCCAGTGTAATGCTATATACACTTTTTGGTTTTTTGGCGGTATTTTCAATGAGCAATTTTTGACATCTGCAGGAGACAGGACCTCAGTGTTTTCTTGTCTGTCAGTGATACGCTCAACATTCTTCTTGAAAATAAACCACTGCCTCATAAAACCAGCCAGCATCCGTGGGTTGGAGGTTGCAGATGAGCTTCATAATTCTGAGATCCTGGATCTACGCTCCTGGGCATGCTGGCGTAAAGGGTAATAAGCTAGCGGACCAACTGGCAAGCATTGCACCAACACACGTTGGAAGAAGCATTGAAAGAGCAGATTTTGCACCAACACATGTTGGAAGAAGCATGTATAGAGCAGATTTCATCAATACTGTACAGACTGGGCAAGTTGATAATGACGAATCTCTAGCAGTAACACGATTGCATGACAAGGGAGTAAAGCTGGTGAAGCACGTCTGTGCTGCCTTTGAGGCAGAGATAGAGGCCCAACAATTAAGCAATGAGACTAATTCTGTAAAAATTTAAATAAACAACAGTTGAAGATATAACCTGTATTTTATTCAAAATAAGCCCCTTGTGCATTGATACAGCAAGTGGCACAATCTGACTAACACTGGAACCACCTCTGTAGTTCTTCTGTTAAAGCACTTAAAGTCGATGTTGCGGCCCTTTGGATGTCATCAACATCACCAAAGAAGCGTCCTTTCAATGGTAACTTTAATTTTGGGAATAGCAAATAATGACAGGGAGACAAGTCTGGGGAATAGAGTGGGTGGTTGAAAACAAACTTTTTTTTTTGGGGCCAAAAATTCCTGTACAACTATCGCCCAGTCAGCCAGTGTATGGTCATGAAGGAGGAGAAAAAACGGCCAGGTGTTGAATCCTCGCGTCAGATTCTTGAGAATCCTTTCCAGTAGACGTTTAAAAAAACGTGGCTGTGATAGTCTATCCCTCTGGAATTACTTCTTTGCGAATAACTTCTTTGCTGTTGTAGAAGCACACCAACATTGTCTTCACTTTTGACTTTTGAAAACGGATTTCTTTTCGCCTTTTGGTGATGACTTCCACTGAGCACTTTAGCATTTAATTGTGGGGTCATGTTTTATTCTCCGCAACAATTACATTTAAGAAATGTTTATTTCTGTGACACGTTTTGATGATGTCATTTGCGTACTCAACACGCAGATATGTTTTATCATCAGACAACAAATGTAGTACAAACCGGCAAGCAACTTTTTTTCTTGCCCAAATCTTCCACTTAAATATTACGAATGGTCTCTCTATTAACACCAAATTCATCTGCCATCATCCTCACAGTGAAACAACGATCTTCTTGTATCCGTTCTCAGACTTTTGCAATGAGTTCCTCATTATGAACAGAAATTGGGCGTCCAGGTCCAATCATTTCCACACCACTTTTGAATCGTGAATACCACCTGAAAATCTGTGCACCAGATAAACAATTATCCTCGTAAACTTGCACATGGACCCTGACTAGGTCAACAAAATGGCCACTGGTTCGTTGTATGCTTATCGGGTGGCGATAAAGTGTTGCCAGATCATAGATGAAGGTTGCCTCTTTGGATTCCATGCTTTGCTTCATAGATGGCATTTTTGGTCTTGGCCATAATAAAATCAGTCTTATTACTTAATTTTCGGAACCTTGTAGGAGACATTATAACCAACCTCTCATGGGAACAACTACTAGAAATATCTTGGAGTGATTGCTGCATCAAAGGACTGAGCACGCATGAGAATTGCGCAGTGTGATCAGTTGTGATAACAGCATAATTCTGAGATACCTGGTTTAGTTCCAGCTGCGAGTGATTTGGTAGCAGAGTGCTTTGCGTTGCTTTCGACATTGGCATCTGGAGTCGACCAGTTAAAAAGCAATGACAAACTACTGAACATAATATTTGCCTAGCAAAACGAAACAGCCAAGGAATGCTGAGGTTGGTTGTGCACTGTCCTGAGGGATACACATGAAACTTTTGTTGTTGTTAAAGCAACATGTTTGTTTGGAGACAGTGGGTCTGTTCTTATTCACTCAGTGGGCTCAGGAACTCACATGGGAAGTTTTAAATTTGACTGATCTTCAAGCCAAAGTGTTTCTCCTAAACTGATGCTGTCACAGATCAATTCAATACTGATAATGGGTGCCTAGCATCTGGTGGGGGCGGGGGCGGGGAGGAGCAAAGCCATAATCAGTTCTAAATTAAGTTTTAATTACTTGTATTTATACCCATTACGTATTGTCTGAAAATAGATAACCTTTACATTTAATTTGATTTTTGAGAATCAATGCGACCTGGGCTCATTCATAAATGTCTTCCACTGCAAATTTAAGATGAAGATACTAGTTGTTCCAGCAGCATGGTGGTTGTATACTCGCTGTAACTGCTCCTTTCAGATGTCTGTCTATGCCAGCCCACAATTAACTCCATGTGCATTTAATATGTTGTTACGCGCCTCTGCATTATTATTTGAAAGTTGACCATGTGAGTTTATTTTGTTTTTTAGAATTGTCCGACAGTTCCTCAGGCGAAGACACAGGACCAACATGGAGACATCACAGGAAATTTGTGAGGTAGGTGCAAATGCATTGATGTATGTATTTTTTTTTTTAACCAGTATGTTTTAGTAAGGGAGCTGCTGTAGTGTAGTGGCTGGACACTCTGGCCCGATGGCCTCGTTCAAATCCACATTGACTCAGTTAAAATAAAAATTTGAAAAATGGTCTTGGTTATGTGGTAAACCCGGCATACAATCTGGTACCAGAAAATGTCCTGGTGGGTCCTGTGTGATTGCTGACTACATCACCTATAGAGTGTCAAATGGTCTTAGCAAATAATCATTTATCTGCTGTTCCAGTGATGTAAATGGGGGGGGGGGGGGGGGGGGGGGGGGGGGGGGGGGGGGGGGGGGGGGTGTTGTCATTGATGGAAGCAGAAGCACTAGCACACAGAACTCGTCATCTTTTTCTGTTTTCCGCTTCTTGATCAAGTGTTTCTTACTTGTCCCCTCCCCCCCTTTTTGACCAACCCCCTAGTGCTCCTTGAAGTATAATGTTTGCAATCGAATCATGTGTAACCACTTGCCCGAACCAGACTGGTTTTGGACATTTCACTACTGCCAAGAGGCTCCTGAGAGCTGTCTTTTAAATATGTTGCTTTTCCCCAGCTTCATTGGGATCTTTTCTCTTAAAGGTAATGTCCAACCCCACCAGGACCATACAAACAGCGATATACACCTGGTGACACAAAGTGCCATCATTCAGATGATCATCATCTGGGCATAAGTGCCAGAGACTTTGTTCAACCGCTAGGTTATATTAGGGCCCCTGACAACAGCCTGGCTGGGACTTTAAAATAACAAAAAATAACGTCCCGTATTTGGATGGATTTTTATAATCTTTTCTCTTACTGTAATTTGTCATAAAATATACTCTTTAGAATGCATTGTTCTGGCATGCAAACCATGGGATAAGGCTAAAAAATTTGATAATCACAGAAAGCTAGAAAAGGCAGGCTTGGCAGAAATGCCTATTCAGATTAGATTCACTGGGTTACCTGCACTGTGAAACTACAGTATAGAATACTTCAAGATAATTGATAAAAAGATGCGACTGAGATTTATTTAATTCTGATATTTGTGCATCTCAACAGGCGGCCATCGAGCCCAGTTGTAATCACAGACCATCCTTATGATGACCATGCATACAGCTCTACAAGAGTGTTGGACGATGATGCACCTTCACCGTCTTCCTCTTCTTCGATAGATGAGGAATATGATTTTGGAGATGCAGGTCAGTTTTAAAGCTTCATTTATTTGCTGCATTGTTTATGTTGGTAGACAGACAGTAATGTACCCTTGTTACACCATTGATGGGTGCATCAGGCATGTGATGCTACACCCATATTTGTATAAACCAGTTGATACTTGATTGTTGATGTGATCAACATCATTTACTTCCCCTGGACCTTTCATTGTATCCATTTTACGAGTATGCACAGAAAGACTGGGAGCAGCTTTTGTAATATAGAGTTAGATCAGTGGTAGTTAAACTGTTTTTTTCCCCCCTCCATGTTTAGAAAAAATAGTAGCTGGCTGAGTGGTCAGCAAGCTGGGCTGTCATTCAGGAGACCCAGGTGTGAATCCTTGGTGAGGTGAAAGAATTGGTTTTATCAAGGGCAGAGATAATCATTCTTATCTGCTTAGTTCACGGCAAATGCAGTAGCCTTATGGTCTAATTCCCTCACCCTCTGCCTGGTGCCTGTGTAGAATAGGATGGTTTCAAAGAATTACTAATACAGATTGTAGAAACAGAATCAAACAAGTTTCACTGAATGAAGAGGGTCAGGAAACAGTGTTCGGTTGGACACATTGAGAAAATAATGAGAATTTTCTTTCGCCAGAGCCCTCTGCACAAAGGAAATAGAGGGAGACCAAAAAAAATTAAAAAAATTGTAGTAAACAAAAATAATTAAAACATACACACACACACATAAGAGAATTAAAACATTGATGAATAATATGAGGAGGACTTGATGGGAGTTGCTGGAGAGGACACAAGATAGGATGGCTTGGTATGAGTTGAATGATGGTCGATGCTCCAGTGAGGTATAAAGAGCAAAAGATTAACTCATTCATTAATAGTCATCTCACCGTATGTCCACTGGTGGCTCCATACTCTATATGCTTTTCTATTAACCCCCCCCCCCCCCCCCCCACACACAAGTTACCCTTTGCCCCTTAGAGTCAGTTGTTACTTAAACTCCCTCTGGATCTGAACAATTTTTTCACAGTGAGTTAAAAAAAACAAAGGGAGAAAAAAAAAAGGGGGGGGGGGCATTACTCCCTGTATTTAACATTTCTGATGTATAGGCAGGGGATCTTTGAGCTTGGGAATTCAGGACTGTGGAAGAAAATGTTGCCCTTTAAGCTTACCAAGGGCTCGAACTTGTGTCTTTTGCATGAAGCCTATTTTTCTTGTCTATTCAGCCAGCTGCTCCTCTACTGTAGATACTTACTTAGTCCCTCCTCTTCTAGCTTAGGATGTAGAGGTTTGAGAGAGGGATCACAACTGCCGTAGATAGATAGTTAGTTAGTTGCATATCCTTTACAGGACATTGCCGAACCAACCCCATAAGTTTTTAACCATTGTGTGGTTTTTCTAGGCAAAACTACATCCCGTAGTTTGCCATTGCTTTCTGGACGGTCGGCTTCTTGATACCACTGTCGAAACCAATGCAAGGTAGATAACAGATGCTTAATGATCAGCCAGTTAAATTGATATATGCCCGGGACTGAAAAAAACCGCCAGTGCACACAGCTGTGTGAGTGATTGATTGTGCTCTCTTTCAGTATTGACTTACTTATTGGAGCAGGCTGAAGAAACAGCTGATGAGTTTTTCAGAGATCTCAGCTCCACAGACTCATATTTTATCAATGGGCATTTTTTGAGTCCGCATCGTAAGAAAGCAGTTTGCCGACAGCGTGGCTCTTTAACTGTTGTGTTGTTCTTTTGCCTTCAGAATTTGGTTGTTCCAGTTGGCCACTTTCCTTGCATTTCTTACTTTGTTTTGTTGTTGTTGTTGCCGTTTTTATTGTTGTTTAAAATACAAGCCGATCCTCGCCGTACCAGGATTTTGATTCCTGCAGTGAGCGGCTTAGTACACCACACAAAAATAATGTAAATAAGTACTTGTAGCTTGAGACAGCCTGAATAACAAACACATGACTCTTCAGTGGAACATAATGCTTACAGATTGGTATATTGTTAAGGCTAAAAGCAAACAGGCATTCGAGGGTGTAGAATAAAAACTTCAAACATGAGGAAATCCAAGATGTCCGCCTCACTGCTAGCAACTGTTCCACACCTCTGTCTTAACAGGAAAACATAGAAACCACTTTACTACAGCAACTTCCGGTTTTCATATGTTTAGTAAATTCAAAATTAGAGTAATAATTTCAAAAATCTCTGTATATTTAGCGGTAATTGGCATTATCAGAGTGTTTTTGTGTGTGCAAAAGTTGCAGCATTTTTCTATTAGTTAATTCAGTGTCTTTTATATGCATCTTGCTGTAATAGGGAGGCATAAGTGTCACAGTAACACAGAGAGAGTTGTCCAATTTTGCCCCTCAAGCCACACAGGTCAAACAAGTTGTGTGTGTTGAGTCAATTGACATCACAGCATTTGGGGCATTCTCATGTGTGCTCCATCCTCATCTTCAGCAGCCAGCACAGAGTTCCAGTTCTTACGGTACCGGTTACAATCTTCAGCAACCAGCTCAGAGTTCCAATACTGATAGTACCGGTCACAATCTGGTTATATATCCGTCTTGCCTTTCATCTGAGTGTAGTGAGCTGGCCAGACCCCCTGGTTACACCCAGTGCCTCATTCTCTCCAGGCCATAATAATCTTCTTTCTCTACTGATTCAGTTGCTTGTTCCCTAAGGGCCTTGACCACATCTGCCTTGTCACGTTGTTTGTGTTACTAATTAGAAAACAAAACTAAAAATACCTGACATCTCTACTGTGCTATTGTGTGTGATTTAGTATGTGAATACAGAGCTGACATAAAACACACTAGACAAGTTAATGTACCTGCATTCTGAAAATTAATTATGAAGTTTGAAGTGTGAACAACGGATCAACATCATGGCACACAGGTAGTAACCCATAAGTGCTCCCTCCATTCGTCTTCTAACTCAAGTCTGAGTCAGAAGAATCTCAACACAGTGCACAGGCTCTGTAGCACCGGCGAGGATCCTGAAATACTTTGGGTAAATTTTAAACTCCAAATTTTGCCCCTTGAGGCTACTCTTTTCGATTTCCAACTTCCAAGGGATTTTGTTTACGTGAGCAACATTGCGTACGGGTGTCTGATCTTACTACCCAGAGATCAGGGGGAATTACTAGAAGTCCAAGTCCACAGGAACAAAATCCCAGCCCTAACTGGGGATTGAACCCGGGATCAGGAGGTTGTGAAAGAAACAATGATGTCATTAACTCTTTGAGTCCTAGGGGGTTTAGCATCACAGGCCCAATGGGTAGTCAAGAGAGGCGTAAAATCGGCGCATCTTGCATTCATTGGGCTTCTGGGTACTAATCTATGAACGTATGATGCGTTCCGTGGGACCCAAAGAGTTAACTCAGATCAAAGAGTGTAAAAAAGATGAGAGAAGATGTGGCTCTCTATTTGAATTATAGGGGTCGACACCCACCCCTGTGTAAAACCTCATTTTATCAGGTACCAAATATCTAAACCTCAAATTCTGGTGACCAGGGGGTGGTGGGGAAATGCAGGCAGATCTGCGAACACTGGGGAGTCACCAACTAGAGAGAGAGATGGCCAGCCACAGAGGTAGATGGAGGCGGGTAATATATGCATTGGTGGATCTCAGTGATTTTGAATGCTGAAGAAAAAGATATAAACATCATTTCTTCTTCGCATTCACCCGTGGTAAACTCCAGCAGAAAGTTCAGGCTTTTCAGCCATCTCGGGACTTGAAACTAGTCTCAGAACTTGAGTGTTGCGTGCACATCGGTTTTACAGATCTGACTTTTTGTGTGTGTGTGTGAAGACTGTTGCTTCTTTACCCCTCAGCCAGATGCACTCCGACTTCAAAGGAAACCCCCAATTAGTCGACTCTTGCAACATGCTTGTTTGGGAGGCAGTAGGTCTATTCTTGTTTTTCTCCACAATGGGGCCCCAAGAACCCACAAAGGAAATTTACATCATTTGAATTTAAAACTACTATGAGTTGTTGCTTTTTACTACATTGAATGCCCAGTCATCACCATATATGTTGAAGATGTAACATAGGGTTCTTTAACACTATGTTGCTTGGCAGCCATGGTCTTGTGAGGATTAAACAAGCTGGCACAGAAACATAGGGCGACCACTGTTGTGCTGATTGATACCAGTGGCACCATTAGTATCGGAACTCTTCGCTGGCCGCTGAAGATGGGGACAGAGTGCTTATGGGGTGACCACTGTTGTGCTGATTGATACCAGTGGCACCATTAGTATCGGAACTCTTTGCTGGCTGCTGAAGATATGGACGGAACGCTTATGGGAATGCCCCGAGTGCTGTGATGTCGGTTCTTGAATCAAATCAAATCAATTAAACCAGTGAATGAATTAATGCAGCATTTATAACTAGTCTCTGCTGTCTTCCGCTGGCTTGAGAATAAGCTGTACACACATGCTGTGATAGTAACTGACTCAGAGAGCATGTTGAGAAAGGTGAAGACAGGCATGCTTAGTGCAGAGTGGCAAGCATCACTTCAGAGGTCCCGGGTAGTTAGCATCCTTTGGATATTTTCTCCAGGTCATGCTGGTGTGTTGGGAAATAAGCAGGCAGGCTCTGCATCACTTACTGGTGAATTGATGTATGACATGCAATTTATTGTGAGGGCCCTTTGGGAACAAGTGAACAGTACGGAGGCGCAGATAGATTTTTTTCAGTCTACTGAGAATGGCGCTGCGAGGAGTTACCAGGTATCTGACTGACTCTCAGGGGAAGGATGAGACAGATATACAATCAGACGGTTACTGATGCCATCGGAATTGGAACTCTTTGCTTGCTGCAGAAGATGCAGAACAGAGAACTTCTGGGAGTGTCCGGAGTGCTGTGATGTCGACTCCTGATTTAACATTCAACAACATTCAATAACTAGGAAGTTGACCAAATGAAAGACACACACACAAATTACAAGTACCATTTTAAACTTCATTAAAAAATAACCCTTTTCTTTGCTTGAAAAATCAAGAGAATTACTGTTCAGATTTTTGTTGTTGTTTTGTTTTGTTGTGTTCATATTGCATTGGTTGTTGATAAATACATTTTAAATAGTGCAACAAATAATTTATTGCCTAGCCTATTTGGCTGTATCTTAGTGGGTGCATTACTACAGAGTTTACATCAACATACAATGGAGCACAAAACATGAATCCTTTCTACTTAAAATATGCAAATAATATAGTCCATTAGTACTCTGTACACCGCACCAACAGAAGTCTAAGATTAATATGTTGGAAGTTGTAACATTAACCATGTGACGAAGACTCTGGTCTAAATGTTAGCCATCTGTTTTATTATTTCATGAGCCTTACAGTTTACATTTCATGCTTATTCAATCGTACTCTTGGGAAGAGTGCACTTGTTACTGTTGTTTCTCACTTTGTATGGAGTGTTTGTTTGTCTCACATTCAGTGCCGCAGAGGGTTCATAGCTGAAATCTTAAGGTCATGCAGGGATGATAGAACGAACAAGCAAATAAACGAACAAACTTTATTTCCAAAGGGTTACAAATTGGGCCCGCAGGCCTGTCTGACATTGGGCCTTTCAAAGCACTCACTAGTGTTCTAGCTTATAAGATGCAAATTGTGAGGATACTAAGAATGAACTAAAGATGAAAGTGATAAAATAGAAAGAAAAATAAAATATAATATAAACAGGTTCTTCTTTTTCTTCTTTCGTTCACTTGAAATAGATTATCTATATCTGCAGTGTTGTCTCTAGTATGAACTTCACTATCCTTTTTAATTCATTTAGCGACCCGTAAAGTTTGACTTGCACCGATGTTTTCTCTTGGCTAATAAGTTCTAATACGTATAGTGTATGTCTTGTACATTGTCACAAGTGAGAGCTAGAATAACTAATACATCTGGCATTTAATATTATTTATCTAGGGCAGTAGCAACAATGATCATACCTAGAAATAGCATAATGCGTATTCACTCTATACCACTGGTTCTTAACACTTTTTTGGGTCGAACGACCCTTTCACAGAGGTCACCTAAGACCATCGGAAAACAAATATTCATGGAAGTTAATTAAGAACTAGTAACGGAAATAATTATGTGTGGGAGTTGCCACAACATGAGGAACTGTATTAAAGGTTTGTGGCATTAGGAAGTTTGAGAACCTCTGCTCTATGGGAAAAGTAATCATCTTTACACTTAGCTTTTGCAGAGTTGTCATATTTTTTATTTTTATTTTAAAATCGACATAGGTTCCCAGGGCGACCACTGTTAGGAAGGGAAGTCATTTGGACCAGGGCTATTCAACAAAGTTTTCTTTACTTGGAGGCCAAGTTTTTAAAACAGGGATTTTCGCGGGCGAGAGTCTCCAGGCTGAACATAGAAAGATCACTAAAACAATACAAATGGCAGTGATTCGCTGCCACTTACTAGATATCTGTGGGCCGCCAGTTGAACAACCCTGATTTAGTCTGTAGGCTTTGTAACAACCATTTTGAATTCATTCTCAGTCAGTAATGTATTAAATTAAACCTTCAGTTTTTCATCTAAAATTCTGTTAGTTCTCTTAAATGAGTGTTTCATATAGGGAGTGATAGGATACGTTGAGTTGATTATCAAAGAATAACAATTATTTTTAAAACAAACAAACCAGGTGGTTAATGTTGCTATTGTACATAATGGTACAAGGAATTGCAAGACATATAGAATGCTGGTAAATCATATGTTGGTCCCCCATTCTACACACCAGTACACACTAGCTCACTTCTGATTGGTTGGCCTTGAGACACCCGAACTTCACACAAGGTCACGGGAGTATTCCCAATACTGCTGTTATTGTATGTTCTGTATTTTACCATGCCAGCGCTTCTAACACTACAAAAACATTTAGAAACTGGGTCTAACACACAACACCCCTAGAGAGTGCTGCAACTTATGTCACAGGCAGTTTCTTTCTCGGAATAAAAGGCAAATGCAAGACAACAACAGCGCGCCACACCCATAATCTCCACCTTAGTAGACTAGTCTAAAACAAATTTATCAATGGAATGTGAACTACTTCCCGTGGGGGAGACTAACGTTTGTTTAAACAGAATGCTTATTGATATGCTGGCCGTGTTCCCATTGTCTGATTTTATACCGATTTTTTTTTTCTCAACAGATGAAGAATGTGATTCTGAGTACCAGTCTGACATGGACTGGGACAGCGATGACGACAAAGATGACGTTGATGGTGACCTGCCCAACAACAAGAAGCTAAGAATAGATATGCAAGCAGAACGTGAAGAGGCAGCCGCTATAGAAGAAAATGAGGAAGATGAACAGAAGAAACTCCACGAAGGTGCCAGCGCTTTGCTGAATCTGGCTGGCCTACTCTTGAACCATCACAGCAATAATGCCAGTTCAGATGCTGTTGTAGATTCACACATAAAAGACATTCGTGACGAGCAACGACACATAGAGCAGAAAAAGAAAATTAGCAAAAAAGCAAAGAATGTTAAGAAATCTCCTGCTTATCAGAAAGAAGAAAAAATGGAACAGAGAAAAAGAAGTGTGAGTAAAAGAAAAAATGCAGGAAGTAATGGGAAGTATGATTCTGGGGAGTACTCATTGGAAAAACCAGGCAAATCAACAGCAAAAGGGAGATTCTCAAGCTCTGGGTTACAGAACACTGTGAAATCCGAGTCACCTATGTCGACTGTTGCAGAATCTGAAAAGGTGTCCAGCTCTTCGTCTAAAAGCAAGCCTGTGCAAAGCAGTACAAGTAAGCAGACTGTTGGAAGACGAAAATTAAAATTATCAAAGGCGTTTAGTTCATCAACGAAACTGATTTCTTCTGTGACTGCTAAAAACACTACAGATAGCAAGACATTTAAAAATCACACACTCAGTTCTAAGAGCAAAAAGAATCTTCCTAAAAAGGGCACACCTAAAAGCATACAGCTGAAAAAAGTCAAAGCAGGTGCTGAAAATTGTAGCAAGATCACCACAAGTGAGTCCTCAGCACATGCTAAAGCAGAAAGCAGTCAAGTGACATCAAGCTCTGATAGTACGAACAATAATGACAGCATTAAAAAAGAAGTTGTGGATGAGGAAGAGGACATCTTGGTATGGTCAGATCAGAAACAGCCAGACAGTGGCGATCATGCAGTTGATGAAAAGAAAAACCATGGCATTAAATCTGGCCATAAAGGCCCCTCATTAGCAGTATTCTCTCATATAAATGGCGACACCATTTCCCCAGCTGGAGATGCGCCTGCCAGGCCCAAGGTCAAATCAGCTGCGGTCAAGAGAGAGAAGTCTTCTGAGTCCAAGTCAGCTCATTCCTCTCCTAAGGTAGCCAGCAGTAGCACTGTTGATGCTGTAAAGTCACATGGCAGCAAAAGTAGTCCAAGCAAGAGTGTTTCAAATATACCACCACCACCAACGACTCTGCATAAGAGTCCTCACTTCACACGCTTCTCAAAGAAAAAGGCGGCCTTATCTTAGCACCCCTGTGGTTTTTGTTTTGTTTTATTGTTTTGTTCAGTTTTGTGTACCAAGTTTTTCTGCTATGTAAACATTGCTAATTTAAAACACATTAGTTACAGAAGTGATAGGCAAATCAGAGAGCATTTAACATTTTTGTGTGTGTTGTTAAAGTCTTAGTGACAGCTAGGAAACTTGATGGTAAAAGTGCAAGGAGCAGATAAATACATGACATTTGTGACTAAAGACACACAACTGATCTCTAATTCTGGTAATTTAATGGGATGGTGAACCATAAAGGTCAGTGATTAACAACAGGGCTCATAAGGATGTTTGTTACATCTGTACTTTTCTACACTGCAAGTGATAATTCCATTTGTATAATAAATCCTGCATGTCATGTGTAGGAATCTCTTTAATTTCTTACTAATAATAACTGTTAAAAGAAAGAGTTATGCATTAGGCTGTGTCCTATGTTGTGTTAGTGATACTTCTCTTCTTCTTTGTGTTTGATTTCATATGCTCAGATCAGACTATCAGGCGGGTAGCATCTATGAACTCGCATGTCAGAAGCAGGTTCTTCATGGTTCCCACTAGTTTGCTCTGCACACTTTTCGAATTAGGGATTCAAGAGTATGGACTTTTATATTTTGAACAGTTTTTGGTAATTGGATAACATACACGTGACACAGTTTCAATATAGTAATAATTTTTTTCTTCTGAAAGTGGCCATTAACAAAAGTAGATGATGATAATGTCTATGATTGTCAGGCGAATTATTTGGCAACAGTGTATAAAGAAATACCCCTTATTTTCTGTAGTTTTCATTATTTTTTTTTCAAAATCATTATTAGCTGCCTGATGTTTTTTTTTTTTTTTTAGAACCTACTCAAGTGGCACACATGTTTTTATTCATTTTCTTGTTTGTTTTGCACTTTTTCTGCCTTTATTTATGTACAGTAGAGCATTAATCTTACAAGCATTTTTTTTTACAGCAGTGACGGTTTTGGTTGTAAACCCATAATTATTGCACATTCTAATTTATTAACCAGAGTTGATACCTGGACAGGGGACCTGATATAGCAACACTTTATACCATCACCTTCATCTTTGTCCCAGGACATGGCAGATGGATTTGCAGGCAGCACCACCCTAGAAAATGAACAGACTGGACATTAATGCTATGCGAGAGACGACACACACTGAAAATCTGAAACATGTGCATAATGATTCCTCTATAACTCCGCTGTGAAATCTAGATATACCGAACGAACAAACAAACTTTATTTTCAAAGGGTTACAAATTAGGCACACAGGCTTGTCTTACACTCGGCCCTTCCAAATTTCAATTTTTCACACATACACACGCAAACCCATTCACACACACACACACACACACACACACACACACACAAGCACCCAATACACACATACATCCACATACATACACACGCTCTAAAACACACGCATACAACCCAGACACATACACACACGTAGCCGCACAAAAAGACCCATACAAACAGACACACTGGTGGACACAGACATAAACCCACACAGACACACACACACACACACATGCAGTCACAGTCACACACACACACAAACACATACACACACTCAGGCAAGGACTAAGCAGAGCAGCATGGCATGGAAAGCAGGCAACAGCTTATGTTTGTTTCATCAACAATGCAGAATAGGAGTTGTAAGAGTAAAAACACTAAGAAACATGCCACGATCAAAGCACTTGGGATATTCCCAACATGAATTTAAGTTGATCTTGAGTGCATCCTTGTAAATGTCTACAGTACATGCAGTGAGTGTAACCAGAGCTTCAGGAGCCAGAGGTTGCTGATGTTGCTTCTCCCTGGGGGAAGAAAGGTTTGCCTGTGTAGAAAGACAGGCCACAGAAGTAAATACACAGCACATTTGAAACAGCTAGCCATCTCATTACTTTTTCCTTATTTACTATGAGAAAAAAGTTGGTTGGCATTGTTTACCTTTTGATTGATGCAGTTTGGCATAGCGTATTTGGGTCTGGAGTTGGAAAAAAAAGTAAGACACTGTTTTCAAGCTGTTGGTTTATGGGGGGTATGGGGCTATACCTTTTTTTTTTGTGTTGGGTAGACATATTGCCCCCTTGATGTGGGATTTGGTTACTTTTAACTGATAAAGCGGGCGATGTATTTTTCAGTTTATGAGACGATATTGCGTGCGCGCGCGCAACTCCCCCCCCCCCCCCCCCCCCATTTTTTTTTCAAGTTTAAAATTATTGGTCATCTCATATACTAAATGAGTTCAGAGTATTTATTTCTTGATTTTGGGCTGCAAAAATAGGGCTCATCTTGCGCGCACGCACGCACGTACACACTGAAATGTTATCTACTGAGAAAAAAAAAAACACAAGACCGCAACCTTGCATGCTACTTCAGACTCTGCCATAGTTGTAGTGCATCAAAGCAAACTCCAGTGTAATGTCATACCATTCAGAGAGAAGAAATCTGGCCGGCAGGAGCAAACCTGCAAGACAAACTACGGGGCACCAGTGATGACCTCAAGCTAACTACTGCCATCTTGCTTGTGACCCATGCTGGAATAGATGTACGGCTGGCATTGATTGCCAAAGATAAAACACGAATCACCTTTGGCTGCTTATAATCTTGAATTATTAATGCTCTACTGTATTAGTGTATTTATGTTCGCTTTTAAGTTTAAAAAAAATGTAGATTTTTATCTGTATGTGATTTTTGTGTGTAGATTATAAATGAAAACTAATGTGTTTTGGGACAGCCCTAACCATTACACTACTTCTTATGTGAATATGTTTATACCAAAAGGTTTAGTTTGTGTTGCGTTCTTGTTCACTATTATTTTAAATTTTGGGCTTTTGTGTGTGTGTAAAACACATCTTTGTTTTTGTTTATTATAACCAGCTTATGTTCACCACTTTAAAAAGTTCTAATGCGGAGAAAAGATGTAAGAAAATGCAGTACAAATTCGGTCAGTTTCTGTCACATACTTACTATTTGTTCCAAATTTCGGTCATGAGAAGGAAGGTTGCTTGTTACCCGAGGCAGGAAAAAGGAAGAACATGTGTCATTTGAAATTACTGTTACTAATACCAAGATTAATTTCCTGTTGAATTGGATTCAGAAGTATTAAGCTACAATGGTGCCTTACTTGTGGTTTGTTTTTTCCAAACGCTGTTTGGAATAATAAACTTGAGACTCATAAACCATTATTCCTCATGTTTAATCATGAGGTATTGTTATTACAGTGATTACCTATATCTTGGTTTTCCTTTCTGCAGCCATTTTGTACATAGATTGTATGATGAATTCGGTGATGTTTGATTGTTATTTTCTTGTAGTGAGACCTATGATGTTTATGTACTTGTTCTGCTTGGTAACGATTGTTATTGTTGTCTTTATTGTAATAAGTTACAATATTTGGAAATGATGTTTTGTTTAACAGCTGAGGATCCAGGAGGAGGTTATCATTATGTCATTGAGGCGACATGTTTGAGGACAGATGAAGAAATTGTTAGCGACACTTGAAATGTAAATATAGAGGTGTCTGACTGATAAAGCGAGGGGAAAGAAGTAGGCTGTCTGCCATTACTACTTGTCTTTACCATTTTTGTCTTGTTAAAAAAAAAAGGGGGGGGGGGGGGGGGGGGGGGGGATTTCTTTAGGCCTAAACATTTAGGCCTGCACGACAATGTCTACTGGTTAGGATTTTTGTTGTTGGGTCCCCCCACAGGAAAAAACCCACAACCTGCTTGGGTTCGAACCTGGGTCTCTCAATGAAAGCCAAGCATTCTTAACTGTTTGGCCTGCTGCTCTTATATGTGAGATCTTTGATCTTAACCCCCTTAGAATGGTAGTAAGTGTCTTTTGCCCCCTACATTCCAACAGAAGACGGTGTGTGTTAGTACCTTTTCTGGTTTTTCTTCTGACCACTGTGGCTTTGGGCTGGACTCAGTCCTGTATATTAAATATAGCAATGTTAAGGACCCTTTTTACACCAGTGGAGCTTATGATGCCAGACTTTTCAGCCCCATTTTTGTTTAAATAGACCAGTCTGTGTGATGTGGTCAGCATCACACCAACACGCCCCCCCCCCCCCCCCCCCCCAGGACATTACCTGGTGGCCATTTTAGGTTGCGCAGAGATCATTTTCATTGAGAATTTATCAGGGATAAAGGGTTCAAAAAGAGTAGAATCTGTTTTAGGGATAAAAGACTCAAAAAGAGTAGAATCTGTTGTGTAATAGGATTAATCACATTATATGGTTAATATTAGCATTTTTTGGTTCAAGTAAAACTACATATAGACTTATTTTCACCAACCGTTCAGTGTTCATATTTATTTGTATAATTGATATTCCAATGATTACTTTTCCCATCTAGAATTGAAATGCACTTTCTTTTATTTCTACAGATAATATTAGTTGAGAATTAACTAGCAGTGAAAACAGTTATCTGACAGTAAACATTACTACAGTACATATGAAATGAAAAGGTGGAATAAAGGCTATAACCTTGTGGGTGGAAATGGAGGAGAGAAAATTTAATTGACACATACTAAAATGAATTTACCCAGAACCAAGCAACTAACTGTGTTTGTTGATTTCAACTGACATGAGAGCTCTTCTCCACTTTAGTGCCAAGAAACCATAAAATGACACTTCCCTTTATTACTATTTTTCCATAAGAACTGCTTTCCTGACTCACTATGGAGACATATTTACGAGACATTAACTTCTTTGCGTTCACTGGTTGTAAACTCCGGCAGAAGGCTGTAGCTGTTTGTCCACTTCTGCACTTTAGTCTTGTTCCAGAGCTTCGCCTTTGTGTGCACACCCTGTGTGTATATATATATATATATATATATATATATATATATATATATATATATATATATATATATATATATATATATATATATATATATATATATATATATATATATATATATATATATATATATATATATAAAGATCTGCCTTATTTCTATTCCGAC